GAGATTAGTAATTCATATATAATATAGATTAATTTCACCATTCAAGCAGATAGAAAAGTTATCCTTAATTGTGGCACAGTAATAAGACTGAGTCTCCATTATAATGTTAAAAGTGGATTCCAAACAAATGCCCATCATGACAGATAAAAGCATATTCCATTTTCTCTAGCAGTAAATAGTAAATTGTTTTTTTCAGGATCTAGACAGAATATCAAAAAGATTGGTATCTTCTGTGAATTGGACCCTCTCATATGATCCTGCTAAGACCCTGGCCACCTTGGGCTAGTCTGTAACACCAAATATATTTCATTATCAATACTTGGTTGTGTTCTCACTTTGTACATACTTAGGAATTCCAAATGAACAATGGTTTCGCTGATCACGCCCTAGCATCTCAAGTACATAATGACCTGTCATAAAGTACACAAGGCTACACATAGCTTCATTTCATAAAGAAGACAGTTCTTACATAGTCAAAGGTTCATTTAGCATTTGCTTTGTCTGTTTTAATCTCACAAGGATCCAAGTCAGTTGAATCTGAGTGCCACTACACTGTATATTATACACAGGTGGATAGTAAATCAGGTTGGGTAAATCCTTTGAAAGAGGGGTTTTGGAACACCTGGGGAGGCATATGAAGCACCTCTTCTTGAATGGTTAAAGCAACTATTTTCCAGGCTTCATAGATTGTTCTTGGTTTTAGTTATATACAGCAAAGCGAAGAGGCTGTGCATGCACACCCATGTGGAGATGGCTGGAACAGCCTTCCAGGTCTGTTTTCATTATTATCAGGGGAATGTCCCTAATTTAGATATAATAAATATTAAATACCCGCCTTAGTCTCATGCTGGATCCTTCATTGCATGTTGGCAAGATGCTGGCTTAGGGTTTGGTATATTAATATTTCCAGAGTGATATTAAGAAGATATCTGAAGCCAGGCAGTTATATTTTCCATAAAAATAGCATATAACCCTACTTAACACTTAAAATATGAAAATTAAATCATCTTAAAAAATTAGAAAAGCCAAAGGCAAAAGAAATTGATGTTCCTTCTTAGCTGTGTTGGAAAATATTTTTGTGTTTACCAGGCACTTCAGAACTTAAGAACTTGTTTTGTAAAACCGCAATGTAATGGCAAGCTTATATTCCAATTACATCAGCATACTACAACTTGGGAATATCCAATTTCTGGCTATTTTTATTTACTGGTAAAGAAGTTTTACTACTTGATGTTCTCCATAATGTGCTCTCATATACACAGATATAACAAAGTTAAAGAAAGGTCAAAGATGTGCATGGGGGTTTACGTTCAAAAGTCTTTTCACATTCTTACCTATCACACATACTATGTGAAGACAGCAGCCCTCTTAGGATGAGTTCTGGTAAGGGGACAAAGTCTTTTATTCAGAAATGCTCAATAATTTGAGCCTTTAGTGAGAACACTGGATTGATTGATTTTATTATTCATTTGTTTGATTTCTTGGCTATCCATGATATTCTCAGGAGCCTTCTCCCACCATAAACGTCAAAAGCGTCAATACTCATTCTATCTTGTTTCTTCAAAACCCAGTTTTTGCTTCCATACAGGTTCACAGGTAGCACTATTGCCTTCATGATTCTGATCTTTGTAGGCAGAGACACATCATGGCATCTGAATAGTGTACCAAGACATTCATCACTATCCTACTAAGTGCTAGACTGCAGTGTATTTCTTTGTCAATTATCCAGTGTGCATCAGCAATAATGTCTCATATTCAAGTTCTGATTCATTTTGGCCAAGCTGTAAAAGACATATATTCCAAACATTCAAGCTATGCCAAGCTATGTTCATTTTACACTTTTCCCCAATATATTTATCTTAACAGTCAAGGGTTTTGTGAAGATAACACCAAATCCAATTATTTTTCACACAATTTTGCCCACAGTGGTTGATAAAAGCAATGACTATTCAAGCATCGTTTTTTTTCAAGCATATACTTATGTAAAATACAGACCATAATATCTTAATCCTTAGAGAGTACTTTGGCAGAGTCACCAAAGGCAATTCATTTTTTTAAAAAAATAACTCTTTCAATTATAAGATTTGTGTTAGTGTCTTTTAAAACACAATGTTCAGAGGCTCATATGCTGATTTTTTTCCAGGACACATTTCGCGGGACTGAAATGCTTTATGACACTTTTCAATTATTCATTTATTCTTTTTTAAAGGCTTGGCATTTAAGGTTTTTACACAGCATATAGTATTATTTAAAATTACCAAGGCAAGGTAAAAAACAGAAAACACAGATTAAATATAAATTGGATGAATTTCTGTGTATTTTTATTCCATATTTAAATCACAAGAATGACAAAATGTATAAATAGTAAATTATTATTTCTAATTTACAGTTAGAATGCTATTAATATTTAATTGCAGTGTTTAAATAATCTCACTTATTTAAACAATTTATATAATAGGAAGAAGAAGGATGATACCCAAAAGTGCTGGCTAAAAATAAACTCGTGTCAAGGAGATTAAGTTTGCTATTATATAGTGTGCAGGTCTACTTCGACTTAGCTCCAGTTAAGTGCATTTAGGATTACAGCCAAGACAAAACACAAAGCTGAACATTCACACTTTACTGGTTGGATTTTGCTTTTGTGTACAAAAGAGGTAGACACAAAGGACACTGCCTTTTTAAAAACATTAAAATTCTTGCTTTGTTCATTGTGTTGATTATGTAAAGAATCTATTTTTCTTTTCTGTGCTTAAAAATACTAATTGCAATAATTTATATATTTAATTACAAAATAGAGATTACCATCAATACACAAATCTATTAATTTTTCCAGTGATGTATGGAATTTAAGATTGTATGGTACTTCAGATTCTAGGGCAAGAAGATGCTCTGAAATGTGTGAACATGGCAAGAACTAGCAGCTCCTTCAAGCAGCCATGCTTTTTCCTAGGATTCTGCAACTGCTGCTATAGGATCCTGAGAAAAGACACATTTAGTGTAGAGACTCCAGTAATTTAATAGCAGTTCAGGACAAAAATATTTCTCTGTCTGCCTCAGGTTAAGTGACTCTTAGAATTCCAGTGAGTAACAGCTCACAGTTACTCATGTCCTGGTCACATCCCAGATGGACTACTGTTAACATGCTCTACATGGGGCTGCCTTTCAAGAGTGGTGGTGCAAAATGTGGCGGCACTGGCAGTTAAGTGTGTCCCTCAATGGACACACATTACACCTCTTCTCCATGAGCTGCCAGTTTGCTTCCAGGTCCAATTTAAGGTGCCAGTTTTTACCTTTAAAACCTTGTATGGCATGGGGCCAATTATCTGACGGACCACCTCTTCCCTATTACACTTACCTGTCCCATCAGGTCCAGCAGGAGAGGCATGCTGAGGGTGCCATCCACGAAAGAGTTCCATTGGACAGGATCTAGGAGGTGAGCCTTTTCTGCCATGGCTCCCACCCTTTTGGAACATCATCCCTCCCAAGGTGAGGTTAGCCCCAACCTTTATGGCCTTCCGGAAAGGTCTCAAAATACTTTTTTTTCCTAGCAAATTTGGGGATCCCCTGGTAATAGGGAGCTTACACGCTGGTTATATTGTATGCAACATCTTCCCTCTCATGGTCTTGATTGATCTATGCTTATTGTTTTAATGGGTTTGTAAAATGTGTCAATTCCTGGTTTTATTGTACACCACCCAGAGTCCCTTCAGTGAGATGGGCAGTCAAATAAATTTGACAAATAAATTAAATTAAATTAAAAAGCAGAACAGATAAGTCTAGTAGAACAGATAAGCCCACTCAACCCCGTCTGGTGGGAGCACCTCAGAAATTAAATTATTTGACATTTCATCTGCTTCATATGCAACTTGCTACATAACAGGCAAATAGATCTCTCCAAAGGGAGACTGACCTGTCATACAGCTATTACATGACACTCATTTAGCTGCACATGATTTTAACTCTAGGAAGCTTTTGTTCACCGACTTTGGCAAATCTTGAAAAAGCTAAGCAAGGATTTGGTTAGTGCTTGGATGGTAGACTACCCAAGTATTTCAAGGCTGTAGACTAGGCTACAATGTTTTTTAAAAATCCAGAAAAAAACAGTAGCAAACCACTTTCATCTAACTGTAAATACAACAATAAGGACATGTCATCTAGTCACTAGAAATAAAGCTTAACTTTAGACTTGACCATTTCAGCTTTCATTTTTAGATTTTGATACAAGAACTGGAAACAGGAAGCAGATTTTTTTCTTTCTACTGTATTTAGTATTTGTGCGTCTGTGTGTGTGTGTGTGAGAGAGAGAGTTTTTTTCTTTCTACTGTATTTAGTATTTGTGCGTCTGTGTGTGTGTGTGTGAGAGAGAGAGTTTTTTTCTTTCTACTGTATTTAGTATTTGTGCGTCTGTGTGTGTGTGTGTGAGAGAGAGAGAGAGAGAGAGAGGATTTTAAAAGAAAAGGATATCTGCCTCCCCTTTTCTGCTAGATTCTTTAGATTCTTTTTGGGGTGCGACCTGGGATTCTTCTAGCAGCAGTTGATTCTTTTAATGCACCGATGAAACTAAAAAGCGTCAACACAAAACCGAAATCTGTTTGGAGGACGAAAGAACCTTATGTCCCCTACTGTGACAAAATTAAGCTGCTGTTAAACGCTGAAGCTTTCATTTGGTTTCAGCCTCCAGGAGTGGAGAGTGGAAGCACGCAAGCCTTTGATAGCCTTTTAAGGAAGTATTTTGCTAAAACCAAAACAAAACACTGATTCCAAAAAGCAGACTACCTACCTACCTACCTACCTACCTACCAGCTACCTCTCCTGCACGCAAAACCATAGCGTAACTGGTTCAGTCGTAGACTGAACGGCAGATACTAACTGCACGCGACCCTTCCATCTCTATAGCCGACGAATCCGTAGCTACCGTTCCTTTGACGGGGCGGGCTTTATTGCCCTGCCTCAATCATTGGGCATTTCTGACCAAGCGCAGGCGTGAAAGGAGCGAAGGGCCGGCTTTCCTTGTTTCTCTTGCCTTCATTGAAAGGAAAGGGTGCAAATCGCGGAGGCGCGGCTGAGGAGGCTTTCTGCAGGTCTATGGCCGCTTCGGTCTCCTTCTACCCTCGTGGCCAGGATAGGAACCGCGGCGGTGATGATCCCAACGCCGCGGCACCAGCACGTGGGCCCGGAAGGCCCCTTCAGCGCCGTATATGAGCCCGCCGAAGACACTTACTTGCTGCTCGACGCTCTGGAGCAGGATGCGGAGGCTCTGAGAAGCGCCCGGTGAGGCGCCGGTTGGCGGGACTGCGCAAGCAAGAGAGGGGGGGAGTTTGGGACTGCGGGTGGGCTGCGTGACGGCACAATAGGCAGTATTGCAGCGGTGCGAACCGACTGTTTCGTCTAGCCTGGTTTAGCGATAGACTTGGCCACAGCTGTGCAGAAGATCCACGGTGCACATTTGATAAACTGCTTTTTATACAGCCAGAAATAAACGTCTAGGAGTTAATAATCACCCAGTGATCCTTGATTGATCTTGAAAAGCTAAGTAGGGTCTAGCAGGATTAATATTTGAATGGGAGACCACCAGGAAAGTCCAGGGCTTGATGGAAAAGTTAAAAAAAAAAACTTATTGGGCAAAGGCCATGGCAAGAAGTTGCATGTAATTAGGAGTCAATTTATTTGAAAGGAGATTTTACCTTTTTTGTAACCTGTTAAATCACATCTTATAACTCACCATAAAGTGTATAGTTTCTGGTAACTTCTGCCCTGTGGACTGTATCTATCTTCAAAATAGTATCACCCAAACACACCACTTTGGAAAGTCTTGCCAAAGGAGTACATATTGCATTCTGTTCTGTTGCAGGAGAAGGATTAGAAATGGTTTTGGCTGGGAAGAGTATAAATCAACCTTATGAAAAGAGAGCTGATTTTTCAGTTGAGGTTTCCTGGGAATAAACATGAAACTTCATGCATACAATATATAATTTTTTCCTATGGCTTCTTGATATGGCTGGAATTGCACATAGCTGCAATGACTGAGAATAATTTTTGGGTTAAGAAAAAAATCAATTTCAGAAAAATAAATTTTA